GAGATCAAAGAGGATATAAGAAAATAGAAAGATATCCCCTGCTCCTGGGTAGGAAGAACCAACATAGTGAAAATGGCCATACTACCAAAACTGCTACACAGATTCAATGCAATGCCAATTGAAATTCCAATATTGTATTTCACAGAACTAGAAAAAAGAATCCAAAAATTCATTTGTAACCATAAGAGACCTAGAATAGCAAAAGCCATCCTAGGCAACAGAGACATGGCAGTGGGTATAACAATTCCCAATTTGAAACCATACTACAAAGCCACTGTGATAAAAACGGCATGGTACTAGCAAAGAAACAGACCTGAGGATCAGTGGAACAGACTGGAAGACACAAAAACAAACCCAGATGTACTCAGCTACCTCATCTTTCACAAAGGAGCTGACTGTCCCCACTGGAGGAAGGATAGCCTCTTTAATAAATGGTGTTGGACAAACTGGATCTCAACCTGCCAAAGATTAAAACTAGACCCTTATCTTTCACCATGCACTAAATTAAAATTCAAGTGGATTAAAGATCTAAATATTAAAACAGAAACACTAAACTTGCTGGAAGATAGGTTAGGCAGAACTCTTGAAGACATTGGCATAGGAAAAGACTTTATGAACAAATCCTCAGTAGACTGGGAACTAGCAGAAAGAATCAACTGGAATCTCATCTTATTGAAAACCTTCTGCACTGCAAAAAAAAAAAATCAATAGAACTAAAAGACAACCTACAATGAGGGGGAAAAAATTTTAAAAGATGCTCCTCAGACAAAGGACTACTATCTAGAATATATAAAGAACTCAAAACAATCAGCCCCCCAAATATATAGACCCTATTCAAAATGGGCATCTGAAATGAACAGACATTTCTCAAAGAAGTAAAAACAGCAAGTAAATATATGAAAAAATGCTCCACATCACTGGTCATTCAAGATGCAGATGAAAACAACACTGAGATTCCACCTCACCCCACAAAGAATGACTGCTATCAAGAAATTAACTAATAACAAAAGTTGGTGGGGTTGTGGGGAGAAAGGAACCCTTCGCTATTGTTGGTGAGAGTGCAGACTGATGCAACCACTATGGAAGTCAATATGGAGATACCTTAAAGAGCTGGGATTAGAGGTTCCATTTGATCCAGCCATCCCTCTTCTGGGTATCTTTCCAAAAGAATTAAAAGAATCATATCACAGTGATATATGCGCACCCATGTTTATAGCAGTACAGTTTGTAATACCTAAATCTTGGAAACAGCCCATTTGCCCATCAGTTGGAAACTGGATAAAGATGTGGTTTTTCTATACATGGAATATTACTCAGCCATAAAGAATGATAAATTAGTCATTCATAGGAAAATGGATACATATTGAGGATATACTCCTAAGTGAAATGAATAAGTCACATATGTGTGAATATCGAATAGTTTCTCTGGTGTGAATAAACTATAATAGTACATAAGATCCTAATGAGATAACTGACATTGTGAAATGGGAAGAAAAGGACTAAAGGTATAGGGAAGGTGGGATGGGTTGGGGAAGGGTAATAAGTGAAAAGAAAAAAATGTGAGAAAATGAAAAGATGGAAATAAAGTGTTTGTAAATTGGGAGGGGAGGAGGGGGTGAATGGAGGGCAGGGACAAGGGGAAAAAATGAGAACAAGACCTGTCATGTAGAGGTACAAGATCCCAATAATGAATGTAACTGTACTGTATACCTAAAATGTACCAATAAATTCAATTTTAAAAAGATCCATCAGAATATTAATGGACTGGTGTGATATTTCTCTTTAATATAAAACCGATAAATTTATTTCTAAAATTAAGAACCACCATGTCTTACTCTGATGTAGAGGAGTATTAGCCTGATCACCAACCTTTTGCATTACTTAAAACAATGTCCTATGTCAAGCACCAAGAAGCTCTTTTAGATTTTCCACGTGCATCTCCCATAACATTGACCATTGTCTTCTATGCAAAACTTGATGATACCCACCTAGTATAGGAAGATGTCTCACAGATATGACACAGCCATATATAACTGACAATATGATTTCACATAAACACTAGAACTAAAGGCAGAGAAAGGGATTTCAGAGTTAATGCATATCAGCGATATTTACAGTTCAAGAATCTCAAATCCTGTTAATGTAAAAAGTATACATTGAATATACTTACTTTTAAAAAACAATATTCTGTTCATTTTAAATCAGGGTTAACAAAATTTTTTCACTTTAGGTTATGCTCTATCAAGCAGAGTAATAATGAAAAGCATTAATGCCTTAATGGTTTCTCATATGAATCTTGTTTTTTTGGTAATGCTTTTCCACATTTATTGCATATGTAAATTTCCCTTCAGCATGAACTACCTGGTGTTTTCTAAGGCATAAATTTTGCACAAAGGTCTTTCTACACTTACTTCATAGGGTTTCTCTGATACTAATCCTTTAATGTTGAATACAATTACGCCTTTGCTATATTTATGATTATGGTCATTATACCATCCTTTCTGACCTTTAACCTCACCCAAGTATTAAAAAGTCATAGCCTTGGGGCCGGGGATTTAGCTCAGCAGTTCGGTGGCCTGCCTTGCAAGTGCAAGGACCCGAGCTCAATCCCCGGTACCAAAAAAAAAAAAAAAAAAAAAAAAAGTTGTAGCCTTTATACTTTCCCAATGTCACTTTTTCAAATGAATCTTTTCAACAATTATGATTATTAACTGGTGTCATTTGCTTGTTTGTTTGAGATACGGTCTTGCTTTGGCTGACCTCTAATTCATGATGACTGTCCTGCCTCAGCTTCCCTAGTGTGGGATTACAGGTGTGCAAAGCATGCCCAGCTTGATTATGTACATTATTGCATCCTATCTGGACCTTCACTTTTATCCAAGTATTAAAAGGTCATAGCTTCTGTATTTTCCCAGGATCACTTTTTGAAATAGATATGGTCTTTCTCTGGTGAAATTCCTTTGGTGTACTGAGAAGTCACAGCTGAAAGAAATGTAAATAAGGACAGCCGAAAGAAATGTAAATAAGGAATTATCTCACCGCTAAACTTTGGTTTACTTACTTAACAAATCTAATACATAAAATTACACCATAGACATTACTAAGATGAATAGACAGTAAAGCAAATCCACACATTTATTCAGCTATATGGACTTAACAGTATCAAATTGAGCAAATTGTCCATCAGAATTTTATTATACACATCTAAGAATTTGCAGCAAAGCAGATGAACACAAACATTAAGTCACATAGGAAAAGAAGAACAATTTGTTATATCTTTCCACAAAAGCCTCTCCTTTCCAATACATCATGATATCCTTATGGTACTGAACAATGGCATCTTTTGGTCTAGACACAGTAGAAATGTGAATGGACCAAATATGTAAGCACATACTCTCTTACAGACAAAATTTTATTGGGGAGGGGACAGGACTTCACCCAAATTGGGTCAGCACTCACTAAAGACAGTGCCAAAGGTTCTGCTTTTATAACAACACCAAGTTTTTATTGATTTGTGGGGTAGACTAAACTCATAATTTCCACAGGCCAGGAGCATATTTCCAAAAGATGTTTCTTCTTGTGATGGAATTGGGTCTCTGGGTAGTCACAATCAACTTGTCCAATAGAATGCACAAGTTTTGTATCTCTGGTGCCAAACATCCTGTGTACCATCCTGTGCAAAATATCCCACCCTTGTAGATACAGACCTTATGACAGGGCTAAAGAATATCAGGTTTGAGCTGCTGTGGCTACCAAAGAAACATAAGGGTTGGGGGAGAAAAGAATAGAAAAAGAAAAAAGGTAATACATACCAACTCCAAAGGTCAGTAGGCCAATCAACCCTGCATTATAGAATTGGACAAAAAAGTTTTAAACAATCAACATGTCTATATATAGGTATGTAGAAGTAATGTTGTCTCTTCTGTCTGCATGTTTTCGTCTATTAAATGAAGCAACAAAAACACTCCAAATGAAACACTTTTCTCTTAATTGTGGAGAATGTTATGTAATCAATACTATTCTGTTTCATACAAATGTCAACTTCATGACTTCTGAAGTCTCCAGTTTTCACCTGAACTGGCTCACTGATTTCATTAAATTTTAGGTCATTTATCAAATTGAAAGAAACATGAAAAAAGACGTAGTTCCTCCACTGAGTTGGAAACAATACATTAATAAAATGTTTAGTGTGTTGTGAAAATATATCTTCAAAATTTCCAGACTCTGCTCTTATAAAAACCATGCTTAAAATGCCTAATCAAATATAACAATATTTCATGACCTTGGAACAGTTCATGTTAGGTTTTCTATAAGTAAAAGTGCATAAAAGTACATGGAAAGATTTTAAAACAAGAAATCCTATTTTGTAGAAATGAGATTTTTCTTTTTTAGGTATGTGAGGTTAACCATTAGAACATTTTCCAAGTATTTTAAACTATCTTTCATTTCTATAATTCCCTTTTCACAAGATAAGTATATACAAATATGTACACCATGAACACACACAATTATTACTTTGATGGTTCTCTTTCTCCAAAAGTTAATTATTGTATTGTAAAAAAATAGGTATATTTCAGTCAATGTAAATCTAAATCAAATTTGTATTCTACATCCAAAGGAGTGGACACATGGAAAAATTATAGGAAAAAAACTTCATAAGTAGTAATAATTCAAGATTTGAAAATATAAGGCTTATTACACTACTATCTTTTGTATAGTTATGATAATTTTCCAGTAATTACAAAACTGAACATTTTAAAAAGGTAATTATGGAAGTAATACTTCCCAAATAATTTCAATTTTAATGACTCTGGGGAAAAGGATTAATAAAGATGTCATTCTACTATTTACCAAATTGTATATTATGTCATCGAGAATCTTAAGTGGAATGCCTGTGGCAGAAAAACATAAAAAAAAAAGTTATTAAAAAATCATTTTTATTTACTTACAAAAATCATGCATAATCTCAAATACTTCAAAATCCATTATAAAGCCTCATTTTAAAGTATAGATTAAAAACTCAAGATAAGTCCTGTTCTTCAAAGTATGATTTATTGATAGTTGTGATTTCTCCAGGTTCCAAAAGGATATTCTGTAAATTGGAATTTACAATAAATTTCTTTCAGAGATAAGTTTTCTGCATTATTCTCTGATATCCTAGGAAGATTTTTTTCTACACATCAATAATGTCCAGTAAATTTTAAGCAAAAGTTGAAGAATATGCCATATTTCTATACTTATAGTATTTCTCTTGATTAAGGATTCTCTTATTTACATCAAGCTGAGGCATGAGTTAGGCTTTGTTCACTCTTTACCTTTATGAAGGCTTTCTTCTCTATGAAATATATGTATTCTCTGGTACTCTGACAAGTATATTTTGGACAAAGGTCTTCCCACAGTCATTACATGAGCTGCTTCCTTTACATTTTTATAGTTTATCCTCACTATGAATATTCTGATGTTGTGTAAGGTTTGAGCTTTGATTAAAAGCTTTGCCACATATTTTACATTTATAGGGTTTCTCTCCAGTATGAATTCTCTGGTGTCGAGTAAGGTGTGAGCTTTGAGTAAAAGCTTTGCCACATTCTTTACATTTGTATGGTCTCTCTCCAGTATGAATTCTATGGTGCTGAGCAAGAGTTGAACGATCATTAAAGGCTTTGCCACATTCTTTACATTTGTAGGGTCTCTCTCCAGTATGAATACTGTGATGGTTAGTAAGAGTTGAACAATCATTAAAGACTTTGCCACACTCTTTGCAATTGTACAGTTTCCCTCCATTATGAATTCTCTGATGCATAGTAAGTCGGGAACTCTTATTAAAGCCCTCACCACATTCTTTACATTTGTATCGTTTCTCACCAGTATGAATTCTCTTGTGTTGGATAAGGGCAGAACAATCACTAAAGGCTTTCACACATTCTTTACACTTGTAGGGTTTCTCTCCAGTATGTATTCTCTGGTGTACAGTAACACTTGAGACTCGTTTAAATGCTTTGCCACATTCTTTACATTTGTACGGTTTGTCTCCAGTATGAACTCTCTGATGGAGAGTAAGATTTGAAGAACCATTAAAGGCTTTGCCGCACTGTTTACATCTGTAGGGTTTCTCTCCTAAGTGAATTATCTGGTGACGAATGAGGTTTGAGCTTTGATTAAAAGCTTTGCCACATTCTTTGCATTTGTAGGGTTTCCCCCCTATATGAATTCTCCGGTGTTGAATAAGGTTTGAAATTTGAATAAAGGACTTGCCACATTCTTTACATCGGTAGGGTCTCTCTCCGGTATGATGTTTCTGATGTTGAGTAAGGTTTGAACGAACATTAAAGGCTTTGCCACATTCTTTACATTTGTAGGGTTTTTCTCCTGTATGAATTCTTTTATGTACAGAAAGGTTTGCAATTTGATTAAAAGCTTTGCCACATTCTTTACATTTGTAGGGTTTCTCTCCAGTATTATGAATTCCTAGGTGGTTTCTAAGGCTAGAATACAGAGTAAACGCTTTGCCACATTCATTACATTTGTAGGGTTTCTCCCCAGTATGAATTCTGTAATGCTGTGCAACATATGAGAGCCTGTTAAAGGCTTTGCCACATTCTTTACATTTGTAGGGTTTCTCTCCAGTATGAATACTATGATGTCGGGTAAGAACTGAGATTTGATTAAAAGTTTTGCCACATTCATTACATTTGTATGGTTTTTCTCCAGTATGAATTCTCTGGTGTTGTCGAAGGCTTGAATCCTGGGCAAAAGCTTTGCCACATTCCTTACACTTGTAAGGTTTCTCTCCAGTATGGATCCTTTGATGTCGAGAAAGACCTGAGGTCTGATTAAAAGTTTTGCCACATTCTTTACATTTGTAGGGTTTCTCTCCAGTGTTATGAATTCTCAAGTGTTGTTTGAGCCTTGAATCTTGGGTAAAGGTTTTCCCACATTCTTTACATTTGTAGGGCTGGTCTCCAGTATAAATTCTCTCATTTTGAGTAAGTTCTGAGTTCTGATTAAAAGCTTTGCCACACTCTTTATATTTGTAAGGTTTCTCTCCAACCCTATGAATTTGCAGGTGTTGTTTAAGCCTTGAATCCTGGGTAAAGGCTTTGCCACATTCTTTACATCTGTAGGGTTTTTCTCCAGGATGAATTTTCTGATGTTGATTAAAAGCTTTGGCACATTTTTTATATTTGTAAGTCTTGTCTTGAATATGAATACTTGGAAAGGTAGCAATATTGGAGTATTTAAAGATTTTTCCATGTTTTTTATCTTGATAAAGATTCTTTGGGAAACAAGTCCACTCATGTTTCCAAAGATTTGAGCCACAGATAAAATTTTCATGATTTTCATCACATTCATATATTTTCTTATCAATATAAGTATTCAGATAATTATTTAGAGTAGACCCCTGGCTATGGGTCTTCCTAGTTTCATTATGAATGTAGTGTATTTTCCAGACATCTATATCTGCATTTGGATTAATCAATAATGGGTAAGTAAAGATCTCATATTCATTACAATTCTGTGTTTTGACAAAAGGAGAAATTGTTTCTTGTTTGCAAGGTGAGCTTTTTCTAAAAGAATTCTCAAACTGATCACATTTAGATATTTCTTCATTTTTAAATCCATTGTCTATAGAAATGTTCAAGTTAAAGTTTAACCCAGTAGCATGAAGTAGGCCCCTTTTCAGATTCTCTAAATTTCCTTTCAGAGGAAAGTTATGTTTCAGAAATTGGTGTGGATACTCACTTATACAAACACTTGGCTCTTCAGCAGTAACTGGAATAAACTGAGATATTTTCTGAGGTGATGTACGTTCTTCATCTCCATTAACAAAGAAGTTTTTGTTTTGGACAGGTATTACAGATTGATTTTGTCCAGCATAATATATATTCCAACTTTCACTCTTACCAATACTTTCCCCTTTATTCCTTAAGTATATATTGTCAAGGCTACAATTTCCATGTCTTCTCTTTATCATATTCTGGAATAAATATTTTATGCACTGCTCTCCTGAAAAGTCTTGGGTATAATGAGAAGATACAGCTGAAACAAATCAAAATAATAAATTCTCACTTACTAGACTCCAGTGAATATACTTTGCAAATATAATATGAAATTATATGAAGCTGGGGACATCAGCAGGATAGAACAGTAAACTCTTAATTATTCAAGAGATAACGTGAACTTAACAACATACCAACCATACTGTTTTGTGAATACTTCCAAAACTAAGAGTTTACAGCACTCCAGATGGCAAAACATGGGGGAGAACCCACATAGGAAGAGAAAGAAACATTTGTTACTTCTGTCAACCACAGATCTTCCTCCTCCCCAGAGCACTGTGGAATTAGAGGGTATGGGGACCCAATCTCTTTCTTCTCCCTCAGCACAGAAAAAGAGGAAAACTATGTACCAAATGCTAGCTTTCTTGGGGGATTTTCATTTTGTTCATTTTTAATTCTGGCTTATCTATCCTGAAACAAAATTCTATAGATAACAGGTTTATTTAGGGACAATAACTGGGTTTTTTAATTTTTTAATTTATTTATTACTGATTTCATTAGCAAATTAAATTCTAAGCATTTACAAAGCCAATGTATGCATATAGTCAGATTGCCAAATCTAACTGAATAACACATATTATATTACCTAATCATTTCTGTGCTTAGAATATTTTACATCCATTCTATTGCCATTTATCAAAAATACAATATATTAATTACACTCACCATGCTGTGTGGTAGAATTCTTGACATACATATTGATCTAAAATTTTGTACCCTTTTTTTTTTTTATGCAGTAATTGACTTTGGTATCTGCCTTCCTATCACTCACCAAAAAATACAGTCTCTAGTAACCAATATTTGACCCTTGATATTTCTGACTTCAACTTTTTCAGATTCCACATAAAATCATGCAGTAACTGACTTTGGTATCTGCGTTTCTTCCTATCATGTAAAGTCCTGCATGTTCTTTAAATGTGTGCTCATGTTACTAAAATGACAAAATGTTCTCTTTAACACTAAATAATAATCCACTTTATATGGGATTTTTATTCATACATCTTTGGACAGGCACTTAGATTATTTCTGTATCTTGGCTATTGTAAACAATGTTGTACTGAACATAGGAGTGAAAAAATCAACATATCCGTTTCATTTCTTTTGGCTGTATGTTCAGTAGAATTGCTGGATCATATAATCTTTCTAATTTTAATTTCTTCATAAACTTCCATACTGTTCCTTGTCATGGCTTATATCTAGATGTCCACCCAAAGCCTCATGTACTCCCAGGAGGGGCTCATGGTAGTGACGGGCTCATCGGTGCAACAACTGGATCAGTTCACGATTAGATTAGATAGACTGACCCTGCCAGAAATGGTAAAGAAATAACTTTCACCGAAAAATAAAATGCTCACAGAAACATAAATCATGGAATTTAAAGCTCTTTAGCAAAAGGAGATGTAACATAAAAACATGTCTATTTGCCATAAAATTTGAAACACAAAAGCATAAAAAATCATCATAAACTTCTGTTATGGGATATACAAGTAAGAATTACTACGATATCAATAAAATAACAAGAAGGAGCAATATAAAGCAAAGAATTTTCAGGTGGAATTAAAGTGAATTTGTTACAAGGTTAAAATACAGTATTGGACTGTATGTGAAAGATATATGCCTTTAATCTCAGCCAGGGAGGCTGAGACAGAAAAACTAAACTCTGAGACAAGCATGGACAACTTAGTGACTTAGGGAGAACGTGAGTCAAAACAAAAAATAAAAGGGCTAGAGAGGTACATCAGTGCAAAGGCCCTGGGTTCAAATCCCAATAATACTAGATGGATACATACATACATACATAAATTACAGTGTTGAGACCTTAAGGTGCTTCTTATATAACCCCATGTAAATGACAATGTAAATATCTATAAACAAAGACAAATGGGAAAAGGACCAACACATGTCTCTGTAAAAATCAATGAAACTCAATATTAAAACATGAGTAGGAAAAACAATTACAATACGTAAAACTATTTCTAAAATGGCAAGAAAAAATTCTTCCTTTTCAGCAGTTTCTTCAAATATATATGAATTTATACTTAATCTGAAATAAAAACACATATATTTGTTAATGAGATAGAATTTTTTAAATTAATCTATAAGCTGTCCTCAGACATTCTACATGTAAGAACAAACAGGCTGAAAGAGAAAGGTTAGAAATGATATTACATGAAAAACAAAAGAAAGCAGGTTGAGTCATAACTATACAAAATCAAAGCAGTAACAGTGATATGAAATGAAATATACCTTAAGTCCAAAACTTTAACAAGAGATGTAAAGTAACGATAAATGGAATGATTCTCTAGGATACTTTTAACAATATATATGTAATCACATAGCATGTCTGAAATATAGGAAGCAAATATTGACACAATTGAAGAAACAAATAGGAAATAACACTGTTGTAGGAGATTCAATTCCTCACATACAGTCATGGAAAAAATAAAGCTCAAAAGAATAAAGAATAGTAACAGGAACAAGGACTATGAAAAACCTAAACCAATTAAACCTAAATCTACAATCTTCTTAATAGCTCATTATATCCTGGACAAACCAACTTTCAGGGCATAAAACAAGTCCTAATAGATCTTAAAATATTAAGTTCTTTTCTAACCATAGTAAAATACAGGTAGAAATCCATGGTGGAAGAGAAATCACAAAATTAACAATATGTAACAATAATTCTGGGTAGTACTGGGGATTGAACTGAGAGCCTTCTCAGTAAGCTACATCCTTAGTCCCCCTTTTTAACTTAGAGACAAAGTCTTGTTAAGTTGTTGAGTTCTCCAGGCTACATTTAAACTTGCAATCTTCCTGCTTCAGCCTCTCAGAGTGCTAGGATTACAGATGTACATTACCATCCCCAGCTAAACAACCTACTAATTCCATGCAACCACTACCAAAATTCCAATGTTAATTTTTCCTGTAATACAAAAAGGCACTCTGCCAGGTACCAAATGAAAAAACAAAAAACAAACAAACAGACCAAAAAAACAAAACAAAATAAAAAAAACAGACATGACCAAATAGCTTAGGACTGGGGATTTAGCTCAGTGGTTCGGTCACCTGACTCATAAACACAAGGTCCTGAGTTGGATCCCCAGAACAAAAAAAAAGCTACTCTGAAAATCATGTTATATCAAAGGTTTGTGATTAACTCAACAGTATTCAAAAGAAAAACAAATTTGAAATCATAATGCTTCCTGGTTTAAAAACATATTAAAGTTACTATAACTAAAAATTTAATACTGACATGAAGTTAGAGAAATACATCAGTACAGTAACAAACCCTCATATATACAGACGAACCTAGATATACTCATACACTGATATTTGCTGCAACATAATTCACAACAGCCAATAGGTGAAAGCAACCTAAATGTTCCTTGACACGAATGAATGAAGGCAATTTAGAATACACAAATAATGGAATACTATTCAACCATCAAAAAGGTAAGAAATATTCTAACACCTAGAATAATGATTAATCGTGAGGACATTATTCTAAGTAAAATAAGCCACTCACAAACAGTTACAATGTGATTCTACCTCTACATCTAAAGCAGTGGTGAAACTTGTAGAACAGAAAGTAGAATGGTGTTTGTGATGGTGAGATGAAATACAGAAAACAGCACTTATTTTTCGTGGGTACTGAATTTTAGTTTTGCAAGATGAAAGCTTTATACTGATATGTTGCATAACATATATGTTTAACAATTCTGAATAGTACACTTAAAATATTTGAAAGTATGTTTAATTTTATGGAGCTTTGACTATAATTAAATTTTTTAAAAAGTGTAACAAAAGTATAAAAATGTTGAAAAATGATCTTTAAATCTTGGATGTTTCCCTTAAACAGGAAATTAATTCATTAATAATTTCCATGAATGTTCACATATAATGAAACAACTCAGCACAAATCAAGACAGACAATATACATGTCATGAACATACAAGTCATGCAAGTATACATGCCATGAACAAAACAGTGCTAATATTTTTACATGCAACTAAAGACATACACAATTTTACTGGCAATAGACATGGCTCACACATATCTGAATTTCACCTTACACTGCCAAAAGTGTATAGTATTGTTATCTGTTCAATATATACATAAAAAACTAAACATAACTGATGTGAGGGAACCTATCATAAAAAAATGAAACAAATATTGCAAAGCAAGAAAAAAAGAAACCATAAACATATATGTACTATTTTAAAAAGTTTTCTATATAACTATAATTTTCAGCTGTGACTATGTAATAGCCATGAAGAGAAGGCATTGTGAAAAATTAATATTTAATGTACAGCAGAAAAATTTCATAAAAACTCCTTATAACTAGTCATAAAGTTATGATGAAATAATTTTAATGAATAAGTACTATAGATAATATCAGAGAAATTCTTTATGATACTATGAATGTCACAATGGCTTAACACAGAGGTCTTTAGAAATGTGCACAGCAATGAAAAAGTAGCCATCATGAAGACTCTCAAAGGTAAATGGGAGGATTTTACCATTTTTAGGAATTTACCTAGCACTACAAATGTGTGGGGAGGAGCAGAATGGGAGGTTTTAAAAGCATGACAAATATAGAGCAAGAGATGCCCTCCTGGGACAGAAAGAGAAATAAACCTAGGCTTCTGAAAAATCATTTCCATTGGAACAGAGTTTCTCAAACCATATACTCACCTTTGGTTCTCTGAGTCAGAGTTAGTTCTAAACTCACAATCTTCCAGCCTCAGACTCCTGAAACCTGGGATTACAGACATTCACAAATATTCCCAGTTCCTCAACCAACATTTTAAAGCCTGGCTTCCTTGTTCATGTTTGGACAGCTCACCTATATTCTCTGTTCCTACCTACCTGAGTAAATGGCTACTATCTCTTCTCTCTCCACATTCCAAAGCTCCTTCCTTTGCTCCAGAAAGGTGACCAGATATGGCTTAGAAACAGCAAGACCTATTTATTGAAAAATAGAACACAATGCTTGCTTGGGACACTTCTAATCCATACTTTGATCAGTAAAAAATGGTATAAGAAGATTATGGACAAGTACTTTTCCAAATTTTGTTTCCTGACAGACTCATAATTTGCATATGAGCTTACTTCCAACTAGTGCCAAATCAAAGATAATAGGGGAAAAAATGGACTACAGTATGTAGGCCACAATATTTTATAGCACTGAATTCCTATAGTTACCACTACTCTTGAGTAAAGTTTGTAAATTATAAGGAGAAAGTTAAAACAAGACATACAAACATTTTCTAGTATATATCAATAAACCCCCAAATTTTTTTCCTTGAAAGCAATAATCTGAAAGTGATTCATGCAAAAACAAAAGCACTTGAGAGATGCTCTATCAAAAAAAGTAAATTAATGTTGCTAGCGCATCAGGAATTCTCTACAGACATTATCCTTACCCAGGAAGACCAGGTTTCTGTAGTTCTCCAACATCACATCCCTATATAAATTCCACTGAGCAGGGTCTAGGCATTCCCATTCCTCTGGAGAGAAATCAACGGCGACATCTCTGAATGTCACTAATTCCTGAAAAATAAATAAGTAAACAAACAGCACACTGACCACACAGATGCTGAAAGTTTGTTGCTTGTTTGTTTGTTTTGTACCAGGGATCAAACTTGGGACCTCGTGCTTACAAGGTAGGTGGTGAAACCACGGAGCTAAATCCCTGGCCCTAACACAGTTCTTAATTCACCATATGCAAGATGAAAGAGAGAACTTAGGGAGTTATGATTCTGACATAGTCAACACAGCGATGTTCTCTAAGGAAAGGAAGTGATGTGAGAGCCACAAAACCAATGTAAATACTGTAGGGAAAGTTGGGGGAAAGGGAGGGAAAGGTAAGGGCCTTAGTGAGGTTTCTGGCAAATCCTGACTGGAATTAAATACCTGCTAGAGGAAGCAATTAAGAGAAGCAGGGAGAACTGACAAGGAGCCTGGCTTGATTGGGTGCCAGGGCCCCAATTCACTCCTCTCTACTTTCAGTTAAATATAAAGGTGATAAAGTGGGGAGTGAACTCTATTATGGAAAACTCAGTATACAAAATATATACTCAAACCTGGACATTCACCTATATATAAATACATATATATGTTTATTATTATCTCACCATGTTAATGCACTGAAATGTACACATATCCTTTTACTAATTGCTAATTTGGCCCTGAATGTGAGACTCTGCTGTAAGTATCAGAGATATCACCTTGACAAAATAAAGAGGATCAAAGGGAGCTTACTCAACAATTTGCAGGTAGAAAATAGAAAGAGAGAGCCGGGGATTTGGCTCAGTGGTTCCACCACCTCCCTCACAAGCAAAAGGGCCTGAGTTTGATCACTGGTACCAAAAAAAAAAAAAAAAAAAAAAAAAAAAAAACGGCAAAGAAAATAGAAAGAGACAGTGGTTGAATCAGAAGTTTCAGAGACTAAAACAATCAAGTTATAACAATTCTCTAAGGGGAGAGTGCCTTTCTTGCCACATAACAAAATGGGCTAAGAACAATGACCCTCGAGCTCCCTTATTCTAACAAGATAGCTGTCTAATTCCTTATTTCTCTCCTTTTTCTAATAAGGTGACTTTGTTTCTCCCAAACCTCTATCTCTAATTTTTTCTTGATATAAAGTTTATGAACCCCAGGGAAGATATGATCCATCCTTCTTCCAGACATGTATTGACAATACTACACTCTTATGTAATATGAGGTATAAAGTTATCAACATAGAAGTATAAACTTTAAGCACCATATTTATATTGTAGGGGATAAATTATATACTTTTTTGTTCTGGTACCAGGCATCAAACTTAGGTCCTTGAGTTTGCAAGGCAGGCACAGTGCTACTGAGCTAAATTCCTGGCCCCATATATACTGTCAATCAGATGATAAAGCCATGGTGAGGATATTTCTAAAATGTTTATGGGTATAACCATAAATTGGAGATCTAATCAAAACTCAGATTTAAATAAGTAGTTCTAGACTGGGGCCTGGGTTTCTCAATTATATAAAAATTTACTAGTGATAGTACTAGCAGGAGTCCAACAGACACTCTTAAAGAGTCATTAGGCAACTGGGCCTGTAATCCCAGCACTCAATCTGGTAAAAGCCATCTATGAAAAACCAACAACCAATATCACACTAAATGGTTAGAAACTGAAATCCTTCACACTAAAATCAGGAACAAGACAAGGATGTCCACCATCACCATTCCTGTTTAATACAGTTTTGGAAACATTAGCCACAACAATTAGACAAGAGAAAGAAATAAAAGGAATAAAGATAGGAAAGGAAAAAGTCAAATTGTCATTATTTGCAGATGACATGATACTCTATATAGAAGACCCAAAGAACTCCACTGAAAGTCTTCTAGACCTAATAACCAAATCCAGTAAAGCAGCTGGATAGAAGGTCAACACACAAAAATCAATAGATTTCCTGCACATGAACAACAGACTCACTGAGAGAGAAAATGGGAGTCAATTCCTTTCACAATACCATCCAAAAAATTGAAATACCTAAGAATCAACCTAATGAAAGAAATCAAAAACCTCTACTCTGAAAACTACAGCACTCTGAAAAAATAGACTGAAGATGGTGTCAGAAACTGGAAAGACATCCCTTGCTCCTAGGTAGGAAGAATCAACATAGTGAAAATGGCCATACTTCCAAGATTTCTATATAGATCCAATGCAACCCCAATTGAAATTGCAGCAGTGAACTTCATGGACCTTGAGAAGACAATCCAAAAATTCATTTGGAACAAAAAGAGACCTAGAATAGCAAAAGCAATTCTAGGCAATAAAGACAAGGGGATATCACAATCCTCAACCTGAAACTATACTACAAAGCTACTGTGACAAAAAGCAGCATGGTACTGGCAAAGAAACAGACCTGAGGACCACTGGAACAGATTAGAAGATGCAGAAACAATTCCAGACAGATTCAGCCACCTCATCTTTGATAAAGAAGCCAAACACCTTCACTAGAAAAAAGAGAGCCTCTTTAATAAGTGGTGCTGGAAAAACTGGGTTTCAATTTGCCAAAGATTAAAACTAGCCTTATATTTCTCAAATAGCACTAAACTAAAATCAAAATGCATTGAAGATCTAAATATTAAAACAGAAACACTAAACTGGCTGAAACAGATGTTAGGAAAAGATTTTATGAACAAAATCTCAGTTACACATGAACTAGCACAATCAACAAGTGGGATCTCTTTATATTAAAAAGCTTCTGAGCATCCCAGGTCTCCAAGCAGCACAGACCAGTGAGGAATGCAGCTTCATGGGCACCTTCATCCACCCACCAGCATCACCCCAGCACAGTGCCCTCCTGCCAGCCTCCTAGTTGTGCCCGTACCTGGGTCCACACTGCAGAGGCACAAAGAGTCAGAAAGGCCATTGTACAGGGCTCCAGAAGATAGAGCAGAAGTGAACAATAGAAAGAGGGCCTCTCTCAGGCTCCTTAATGAAAATTGAAAAGTGAAGAGAATCTCTGCAAAAAGGCAGACCAGACCACCATGGTTGGTAAGTTGGAGAGATCACCACCTCCCATTGGAACCTGGACTATCCTCAGGGGAAGGGCAGCTGGAACCAGCAGTACAAACCTTGCAGAGTTCAATCCTGCAGGAGGTCAGGGAGCTCAACCAGGGCCTTGCAGCCCGAAATCAGCCTGAATCTCTGGGGTCTGTGGCTGGCTTGTCAGACTAATTGACTTATATCTGCACACTGCTGCCCACATTGTCTATTGTGACAGCAGAGACATATTCTGGAGACCCTTCACTTTTATTTTTTTAATTTTTTTTCTTTTCCTTTTTTTAATTTTTATTTTCTTCCCATTCTTTTCAAATTCTTTTTTCTTTTTCTCTTTCCCATGCAATCTCTCACTCTTCCACATTGTTCTTCATCTCCCTTTTCTGTTCCTGATCCTACCCTAATTTGGATTTCTTCTTTCTTTTTCTTTTCTTCTCTCTTTTTCCTTCTCTCAATGGTGATTAGTTTCAAAGGAAAGTAAGTACAGCTTCTAGATCCCCTGTTGCTGTTAGGTGGCTCCATTCTTGCCTTTGTTCTTTCACTCAGTCTTTCCCTCTTGTCTTCAACAGTTTCCTAGAGTTTGGGTGATCTTCCTGTGTCCTTTGGCCTCACTTCTAACCTAATCCTATCCTTCTACCTATCTATCCCTCTCTTCCCAACTCCTTCTAGGTCCCCACTCTGAAAAGAAAAGATGCTATATTGAAAAGTTTATTCACTACAAACATATTTTGGGCTGGTCCTCAAGTTTGATTTAATTCACATGGTTGAAAGTGATAGATTAATAACTACCACAAACTGTCACTTTCTAAACTATGCTTGATGCTATTGTGTTGCTGCTTGTATTACTTGGGCTAAGGTGTTGTGATTGATCTAATCAGTTGTCCTTCCTGGTATTATGAAAATGAGAGTGTCGCCAAGTCATTAGAGACCTAAAGACCAGCTATATCTGGAAGATAGAAGCATTAACTCAGGAATTAAACCAAGAACAGTACCACCAACAAAATAGAAATGAGAAAACATTTCAGCAAAGCACAAATACAGACTTCCAGCTCACCAAAAGCAAGTTCTGGGGAAAATGAGGTAGAAAAGTCTGACAATCAACCACCAGGACACCCTGAACTGATAGCACAGGAAGTAACAAAACAGATGAATAAGGCTCTAGAAAAATTCAAAACAGAAATAATTTCCCAGATAACTACAAAACTGGGGAGCAAAATGAAAGACATGATTAGAGACTTTAGAACAGAAACAGATTAAAACAATACTTGAGTTCAGGACCATGAGAGAAGCCATGAATGCCTAGCATAGGAAAGAAATGGAATCCATGAAAAAGATTCAAATAGACACCCAGGAGATTAAAAAAAAAAAAAAACTATTGAAAGTTTACACAGCAGACTGAGCCAATGTGAAGACAAAATATCATATATGGAAGACAGAATGGCAGTAGTGACAGTGAAAAGAGAAATCTCTTAAAAATAGTAAAGGACCATGAAAAATCAATCCAACAGCTCCTAGATGATGCAAAGAAGAATAATATAAGACTGATTGGAGTCCATGAAAAAGCAGGAGGAAGTACAAATGTCATAAAGAAAACAATGCTCACAGAATTAATGACAAAACTTCCCAAACAGAGCAAAAGAGTTTAACATAAAGATAAGTGAGGAATATAGGACTCCAACTAGCCATGATTTAAAAAAAAAAAAATCTACACATAGACATGTAATAATCAAGATTCCAGAAACCCAACAGAAGAAAAAAGTGCTACAAGCAGTTAGAAAAAAGAAACAAATCACATGCAAGGGAAGGCCCATCAGAATTGCAATAAACTTTTGCGGAGGGGGAAAAATTTTAAAAGGGCCAACAATAGAATAATAATATGACAATGGTAAGTCAATACATATCAGTTATAACCATCAATGTTAATGGACTCAATTCACCAGTCAAAAGAAATAGACTGGCAGAATGAATTAAGAAGCAAAATCCAACAATACAAGCAACTCAC